TAGCCTTTGGACCCTAAGAGTGCTTAACATCTTATACAAGGTACATGCCGATTGCTCTGGGTTACGGGTAAGGTCATTATACCTTTGGACCCTAAGAGTGCTTAACATCTTATACAAGGTATATACCGATTGCTCTGGGTTACGGGTAAGGTCATTATCCCTTTAGACCCTAAGAGTGCTTAACATCTTATTTCTCCTCGCAATATATCAGCCCTGAATTAAATATGAAGGTCACAAGAATAAAGGAAATGATCACTAACTAAAGAAGCTCTTGATTGTTGAACAAAGTCTCCTTGTTAGCACCTTAGGACATGTGCAGAGAACAGTATGGAGAATATGCATACTGATGTAGGGGTATAAAGGGTTATGGTCTTGTAAGTTTAAAATAAGACTATTTTGTCTATCCTTTCATGACAATTTGGTGTCCTGCTATTACTTTATCATAATTTATATCCACCTAACTCGTGCCCAGTCTCACAGTGAGGAAGTTCTTTCTGTTTGGAGAGAAACGTTTTCCATGTTGAATCTGGCAACTTCTTAAGACCACACGGCAAGTCAGGAAACACTTTAAGGCTGCACTCCTTGGTAACATTAAAAAAATTTCAGTAACTACATGCATGTATACAACTTTAATATAATTTGAGGGCAGCTAGTTTTAAACCGAATGCGAGGTCTGTATATTAAGTTACGGACCAAGAAAACGAAGTTAGTGAGGCATTTATCATATCTCTGGGGTTCAAATTAAGGGGGAAGATTTCAATTCAAACAAAATTTTGAATTCAGTGGGCCATACACTGAAATACGGCCCACTAAATAGACCAATCATAGTGCACGCCATAACTGTGAGATATGATTAATAATAAAAACCAGCTGAATCTGGATTTAACTGGAAGGTAAGGAACATCACCAACACTCTGATAAAGGGTCCATGAATACACACTTAATTTAATCCATTTTAGCTCTCGTTTCACTACATTGCAAATAATTTGAGACAAAATAATTTATGACAAACTCTGCATGGCAACAGTTCAAGACTGTATGTGCTATGATGATGTGAACAATCATGCAACTACCTGGTAAATAGCACAAACTCGATGAGTGGAATCTTCTTCAAATATACTCTCTGTCTCAGAGCGTCTTTTACGAAATACAAACAGATGATAGGTATTCACAACTTCAGCCCTTTTCTGCCTGGTATCAACAACAAAAATGGAAAATTTGTTCCACCCAACACCAAGAGAATGGTTGGATTTACTGAAACAAAATAATGTAACAAACCATTACTGATACATAGCTTTAAAACAGAATGAATGATTCATAATCACTTAATTTATTTTTATACTATATAATACCAGTTCTGTAATCAAAGTGTACTGCAAAGAAGATACAAAAAGTGTACTTTCATCAGACTTGAAGAACTACCAAAAGTATACTTGTATCATACTTGTTCCCACCTGAAATTGAAACACCCAAAGTATGCAGTCTTGCAGTACACTTAAAAAGTACAGAGAATTTTGCATTGCACTTTAAGTATACTTTAAAAGTAAAACCACTTGTGGCAAAGTGACAAGTACAGTATATACTTTAAGGATACTTAGAATGTATTCAAGATATGAATGAATGGCTATACCTGAAATTGTTGGAAAATTAAATAATCATAAAGATCATTTAATTTTCCAACATTCCCACCTATGTTTACAAATGGAAAAAATAAATAGCGAATGATAACGATCTTCATTCTTCATATCACTGATGAAGGTTTAAGCATTAGCCGACACATCTGTTTCAAAAAAATAACAACAGTCAGAGGCAACCAATTTCTATAAAATCCCAGGTACAGTTGCAAGCTTATTCCATGACAGGTCAAATTTCACCAACTCTGAGTTAGTTCCATGACAGGTCAAATTTCACCAACTCTGAGTTAGTTCCATGACAGGTCAAATTTCACCAACTCTGAGTTTTTTCCATCACAGCTACAGACATTTCATGCAAACTGTGCCCTGGGAAATCTAAACCTGTTCTTCCCAAATAATCTATTTTCATCTTCCTTCGCATATCTGCTTTAGAATTGAATTCCATGTTGTTCATATGAAACAGTCAGAACCAAAATACAAGCTATCATTAACCGTGACTAACTTAAACTAACTTGCTTTGGCATTATAACCATTAAACCAAAGATGGCAAAAAATGAGGTTCATAATTTGACTTTTACTAGTCTAAACTAATGATTTATGTCTCTTAGTAAAATCTTTGGAAGCCATCCACCCTTCAGTGTTCTTTTAATCACTCTGAGTAAAGGATACTTATGTGTGAAAAGCTCTATAGTTATTTATTTTCATGTCAGACATTTTGATTTAAGTCTTTTCAAATAATTTTTTTTGTGTTCATACACAACTGCTTGAGTTCTATATGTTTGCAACAAGGATGTTATGAACAAGAAAAACATCTGAATTTTAAAAAAGAGTTCTCAAAGCTGCTCTTACAATAACATAAAGACTACTTTACATACATTAATATCCAACAGGAAAGAAATCATTAGTTCAAATCTATGGTTGGTTGTGTTTTAATGCAATAATCTTAAACTTATGATTACTTAAGTCAATAAGAGGATAAATTTATTCAAACAATACAGAAAAAGATTAAATTTACATCATTTTGCAATGTAAAGCAGCTGGTATCATAATAACCAACCAAACTATAGAGTATCTACCTGGATGAAGCAAATGATGTGCACAGAATAATGTAGCTATCCTCTGAAAGGGGCTAGGCACCACAGGCAACTAATTTTTGTATTTGAGTAAGTTTTATAACTTGGCTTTTATGAAAGCATATGAGAGCTGGGACACCTCAGAATTTGAGACAAGAGCCTTTCGTCAAACACACGATTCCCATGAGAGCAAAGCTGTGGATGACTCCTTAATCCTCATTTTCCTTAAGTATACGATTCTACTCGTTAAGATGCCCAAGGTAATTTTCTATCCACAATGGATATATACTCCATAAAGAGATCCATATTTACTTACCGACTTTCCTCAGATTTTGTGTCTATTCTGACGTCTAAATGGCACTTTGAAGCTTTACCCCACAGCTGCAGGATTGTGGTATCAAATGACACAGTTGTTTGATAACTGAAAACATCACTGTTGAAAGGTGGATGAAGAACTATTTCAGGTTGAGAAATTAGTTCTGTCAGGATGCTTTCCACATTTGGATCTGGATAAAAGTCAAGATGCAGGTCTTTTAGAGAACATTTGGTTTCATTTACCTGGGTGAACCTGCTAGTTTGGCCTCATAAAATGCATAAATTTAAAAGCAAATACCACCTTAACAAACACTCACAATTAACTTACCATTGACACAAACAGTTTCTTTTGATGACCCTATAAAACAGAACAAGGATTTACTCTACAAATGCAAAAAGCTTACAAACCAATAGCAGTACCCAAAGTCCTGTTATAGAGAAAACAAACAATCTGCAGCACAGAACTCTTAAAAACAATACCTGCATGAGTACATCCATATCTTAGAAACTACATACCAGTAGTCAAACATTCCAAACCAAGGCAATGTCACAAAGATCATAAATCATATCCAATAAACCATCTGGTTCATGGCTTTCTCACATGAAAAGCCTGACTAGATTTAGTTGTAGTCCTTGGACTTTTCAAAAGGGTATGTGGTCTTTGGAACATGCTGCACAGTGATATACAAAAATAAGGATATAAATGTCTGCTTTCACCAGGTACAGTTCAGTCTAGACGGATAACAAATTCATTCCTACCTGTAGATACATGTGATTCACTACCTGAGCCACTTCTGTGTCCTCTGTAAAGAAGGAAGAGAAACAAAACTATAACAAATTTTCATCCAGGGTCTTTTCAATTACCAGTTACCAAAGCTCCTGCATGTTTATAGATTTGCATGTTGGTGCTTGTCAGCCCCAATGATTGTTACAAACATCTACTTTGATCTTTTATTTTTCTATGATTATCCTCATACCATAGCAAAGTGGAAATAACCTTGACTGCATGTTACACATAAGAACTTACAAAGGATGGGTAGATCTTGCTGCCTCAAAAGCTGTTAAAAAATCATGAACATCTGGAGTTCCAAGATCAGCCCTTTTTTTAGGATCTAACTCAACTCCAGTGTCAAGCAATTCTAGCATCAGTGTCTTGTACTTATCACCATCAGAGGTTGGATAAAGCTGTTATTACAGATCACAAATAGGCACCATGAATGGTTAAACCTTGACATCAAACATACAACATTCAATTCAATTACAAAAAACTATATTACATGAAATCACGTGTGATCTAGATTGAAAATCATTGAAGTTATGATCATTATTTGAGAGCAGTTACTTGTATAATGGCGTTTGTAATTTACCTAAAATAGGAATGTTTTCTTTGAGGTTACTTCCCACCTTTGCAGATGTCCTTTGAAAAAACAACATATATATGCTCTAGTTTCACTAAAATCCTAGTAAACTATACACCAGAAGAAAGTTTTATGAATGCAGTTTGAGATAGAAATATAATTTAAGGGGAAAATACGTTTTTCTAAATAAGTTGGATGCTTTCAGAGATTTTCAACTTTTTTTTCAGAAATGTTAGGTAAAATGTTCAACTTCACTTTAGTTAAAATTAATTAAAGAAAAACAATTTTTTTCGCATCTAAGGTAGGAAGTAACCTTAAGGAGCAAAAACATTGAACCCCATAAACAACTTAGGATAACCATGCAATCTATTATTTTCTAGAGGTTAAATTCATTAAAAAATTTTTCACCAATTGCTTCTGTTGTCTTTTTCTGCAGTGTCCTTAACCCTTTATAGCTCGTTGGCCACTAGGAAATCAAGGGCTATTACAAACTGCATTCAGGGAATCTATCCAACAATATTAAACATGTTCAGGATGTTAGTACCTGTTTGAAGTCTCCTCTATGTTGCTTCTCCACTTCAAACTGTGATAAATATGCCAACAGATCATCTGTCAAACAGTTTTCCATTTCTAATTGGCATTCTCTTTTCTAATTTTGAAAAAGAAAGGGGATATATTTGAGTGGGGAGCTGTTGCAAGATGTGAAGATTTGAAATCCCTCTTTAATGTCTTTCATTGAAAAACAGGCATTCACACAGCTTAATTTGTTAATAACATAAAGGGCAAAATTACTGAATGCTGTTTGGTCAATGAAGAGGGTATTTTTTCTTAATTTTGCTTGTGAAGAGGGAAAAATTACTTCCTCACGAATGGTCAGATTCTGAGTGATTTGAAAGCATTTTGAACGCTTTAACCTTGTTGAAAAAGCACTAACTTTATATTTTCAAAGTTGAAAGTTTGTTAGCAGGCCTGGTTTTCAAAGTCCTGGTATGTTTGTAATAATAATAATAACAATAATAATAATAATAATTTATTAATTTATAGTGCACTTTTTAACATGTAATGATCAAAGTGCATTACACTTGTCAAAATCTAGGAATCAAAACGTACATTGTATATGTTGTGGTTCAAATTTAATCTTTGGTTTGAATTGTTTTAAATCAGTTTAAATTTTTGAAACTGGTTTGAAATTTTCAAACTGGTTCATAATTTTTAACACTTAACTCGTTCTTATTTATTTGTACCTCTCCTTGTACAATATGGTGCAAAATAAACTCACATTTTAGTTTTTAGGGTTAAGCATTTATTTCAAATGGTTAGCTTTCGTGTAAGGTTAGGGGTAGCATTTGGCACCCAGTTTTGTTACTGGGGTTAAGTGCTTTGTTTGAATGGTTTGGGTTACAGTTAGGGTACAATTTCATGCAAGCCCTTAATCAAATGAGAAATATTTGGCTTTGGTGACAACATTAAATATTTATTTTTTGGCACTCCTGTAAAATAATATTTTACTTGCAACACAACAAAATAGAATATTTACAATTCATCTAACATTTAACTAACAAAGTCAAGAAAACACTGAAGTTATTATTGAGCATTTTCGGCCAATTTACATGCACAAGTGAAAGAAATTTCTTTTTCATACTCAAGTTTTACATTTGTTCCTGTACATGGGAAAAGTCTGGAAGGGGCAATGAACCCTTTAATGCTTACAGAAGAAATTGAAGACATGCTCTCACTTTCAATATGGTTTTGTTTATTTACGATCTCTACTAACTATGATTTTACTCAGCCCTATGTGATTACGTATACTAATACAGAGTTTAGTTTTAATTAAGGCACTGTCTTACAGAATTAGAACAAAACAAACTCTGACATAATGTTGCAGAGAAAAAATAGTTCAAATTCTTTAATTCTACATTTTGAAAATTTCTCTTTTAATATTTCTTAATTAAGAGCAAGGAATGGTAATTAAAGTTGACTCTTAAGGAGAACTTCATACTGCCCTCATTTGAGCCTGCACACAGTCTGTACCACTCCTCAGTAGAGCTTTTGAAACTCTTCATTTGAAAGAAACAATTGATATCAAATTCTATCATATAGACAAAGGGACAATTTTTCCTTTTATTTTTCTGTGATTAGATAGTTTTAAACAGAATTTTGTGAGAGAGAGTTAAGTGCTCCAGAACATGAACGCAACACAGCCCTCTGACAAGGGTTTACACCTAGATCTCACCATCAGAGTCTAGTCATAGACTGCCAACTGGCATAAGATCATTGCATCTTCCTCAACATAGTAATGCTAATCAACATAATATTAGGAGGGGAGAAGTAGCAAAGAATGACTGTGTAACAAGAAAGATATATTGTTCATGTAGGCTTTTTCCACCACTATTATTATGTTTTTAAATTCATAACACAAATGTATACAGTACCTTAATTGTCACATTTTCCTTCCAGGCTTTTACAGTCTTATACACATCATGGGAAAATGGAATTGATGTCATGTTAAACAACAGATTGATGATGTCCTCAACTATTTTTTGTGAAATATTCTCATAACTAGGAGCTTTTGCCTTGAAAGGGTAAGAATAACAGTAAACAAATGTTGTACATCTAAATGATAAAAACAAACTTGCAAAGCGCAATTAAAAACAGGTGTTGTACACTTTTGGACAAATTTAGTAACAGAGACCAGGTTTTAATTTATTACACTTTAAGGTATATCATTACAGAGCGATTACTTTCTCCCTCTTGTATTCAAATGCCAATTATAATCATTAGGGTGATGAAATTGAAGTAGACCTTGCAAGCATTACATTTACTGATGTTCTTTAGACAAAATCAAACTGTTAACACCCAATAATGTCCTGTATTTATGGTAAAACAAATCACTGCTTAGGGTATTGCACATGGATTAATTGTAATCTTACCCACATACATCTTTCCTAGACTTGAACCTACCTCCAAAATATATGAAGTGAGTGATGAACTGAACGTAAAACTGATCTCCAGAACCTGGAAACATGACTGGCACCTAAACATGAGACAAACAATTAAATCAAATTAAAATGTGATAACACTCAGTGTTCCAAATAATGGACAGAATAATGAAAAAATACTTATAAACTTTACGGTAATTTTATATTGGGGCTAAGTTCAAGGAGGTGGCTTGATTAAAGGTTCTTTTGGATACCTGTGGCTGTTGCTGATCTTTCATCTTTTTTTTCTATTTTATTATTATTATTATTATTATTATTATTATCAATTACATACAACAGTACATTAGTAATACTCTGTAAACCACTTACAGTAATTACAATACTATGCTTACATTATTATTTTATTATTATTATCATTATTATTATTATCAATTACACACAACAGTACATTAGCAATACTCTGTAAACCACTTACAGTAATTACAATACTAACAATGCTTACATTGCTCACAATGTTCCCCTATTACAGATAATACTTAACTTAATATAATGTACTGTAATTTCCGGCCAATTAACCGTGGGTAATCTGTTGATTTTGCATTAAACACATGCCGCTGCGGGTAATAGGGAGGTGCGGGTTATGCAATAATTTTAAAATCTGCTGGTTGTTGAATTGAAAAAAATTCTCTCCTGCCTACATTTCCACCACTCAAATTAATTTCATTTTTAAATTATTAAGAGTGCCACAAGGCAGCATGAGAACATGATGCCAACTCAAGTTTATTTTATGCATAATTAGTTATGTGTAAACAAATTTCTATCGGCACGCGTGTAAACAAAACCTTCATGGTGACAAAAATAATCCAAGAATATCTGGCACATCAGTAACAAATTTCCAGTTAACACTAGCTTGAGCTAAGGAGAATTTTCCCATTTTAAGGGACTTTTTAGGCCCAGTAGAACCGGAGATATTGATTTTTTAAGAAATCACTGACAGTAGTTTGAAAGCCCACACGTATCAATAGAATATTGAAAATAATAGGTGTAAAACTCGACTAAATTCATGGCACTGAACGATCGCTCGCACAAAATGTTTGTGTTTTTACCATATCATTTTAACAATAAAATACATGCTAATATAGACACAGAATTGAACACGCGTCTGAATTTCTTTGGCCTTTAAACTTTCTTTCAATAAGTCAACATGGCGCTGAACATAAGGTGCGGGTTATCCACCGCTGTGGGTAATCTGTTGACTTTTTTTTCACCGTATGCAATAATTGGCCAGTGTGGGTAATCTGCTTTGCGGGTAATCGGCCGGAAATTACAGTATATTCTAGAGAGGTAGACAGCAAAACACATCACAGACAGTGCAAATACTTTAAAATTAAATTTTGAAGCACAAGTTAGTTGATAATAAAAATAGACAATGCAGATTTTCAGTCAGCCATCCACATGATTATTTCCTCCACGCAGTATCACAATAAAAATTCTTATAATAATGGTTCCCATCTTTTCCTAAAATCTTGAAGTTTCTTATTTCTTAAGGCAGTAAGACTTTCACTCTCCTTGGTTTCTACTTTGTGTAGAAACAAATTAAACTTTGGAATTGACTTGTTTCTTCTACACTTCCACATACACAGTTTACCAAGCATTAGCAGAAAATTTAGTACGTCAATTCTATTTAAAATGCCACCTATAACTCTTTGTAGAGATAAGCTCAGATTTTCACTGAAAATTAGACCACCAATAATGTAAAACCTGTTTCAAAAGGCTTGTGCATAAGAGCAGTCATAAAAGAGATGGTACAAGTCTTCTTTGTAAATTACACAGAAGGAACACATCTCTGACTCAATTAACACGCCTCCTGGTTAGCTCATTGGTTAAAGCGCTGAATTGTGTCATGTGGGAGGTCGAGGGTTCGAGCGCCGGCCGGACAAATACTCGTGGTCTTAAAAACTGAGGAGAATTTGCTACCTTTCTATAACATCAATGAAATGGATAGATATTCTAGCCTTCTTGGATAAGGAAGAATAAATGGAGGTCCCGTCTCCTGCAGGGTTAGGGCTAGGAGACGTTAATTTACCATGCACGAGATTACTGTGTGATGGATGTCCTCCCCTGGGGTGGGATGTGTGGGGGGAAAAGGTGAGGTTGTTACATGGACTAAAGCGGCTGCCAGAGGCGCCTGATAATGCTGACATCCAATCTCAACCTTTGTAACACTGTAGACCGTAGCAATTCAGCCTATGCTGCTATTAAGGTATCAAATCATTCACTTCACTAACCCTTTCACCTTACATATGATGTACGATCCTTGCAGTAGATAGCGCTATTTAAGCAATAGCGAAAATCAGACCTGAAAAAAATCAGGCCTGTACGGGATTCGAACCACTGACCTCTGTGATACTAGTGCAGCGCTCTTACCAATTGAGCTAACAAGCCAACTGGGAGCAGACCGTTAAGTTGATTCATAATAAACCCGTGAAAGTGATAAATGAGATACAATGAAATATATGAAGTTCATATATTTTGAACTGCGGTATTAGATACATATGATGTACGATTCTCGCAGTAGATAGCATTATTTAAGCAATAGCGAAAATCAGACCTGAAAAAAATCAGGCCTGTACGGGATTCGAACCACTGACCTCTGCGATACTAGTGCAGCGCTCTACCAATTGAGCTAACAAGCCAACTGGGAGCAGGCCGTTAAGTTGATTCGTAATAAACCCGTGAAAGTGATAAATGAGATACAATGAAATATATGAAGTTCATATATTTTGAACTGCGGTATTAGATAC